TTGCACCACTGCACTCCAGCCTGGGCAACGGAGCAAGACTCCATCTCTCAAAATAACAACAAACTTCCTAAATAAAATGAAACCAGGCTCTCACCATTTGACAATTTGCTTCACTACTTGGCAAAATTTTATTCCCTTTATAGGAAAAATAGCAGAAATATTACAGACATTATGGTGTCACAAACATGTTATCTTTTCCATAAAAAGCTAAAAACCATTGTACTACATTAGATAATGGAAGACTATACTCTCAACTCTGAAGGCGGTTCTTCAGAGACTGGACCATTCATGTAGCTGCTCATCTCCTCTCCAGGTACTAGAATGGTAGAACACTTACCTTCATCTCAAAAGTTGTAGGTTATTAAAACACTAAAGAAGTTTTGATCCTACTGGACAACCTCCAAGAGAGTGGATATATGGATTAAACCTGAAACATTCCAGACCAAGTTGGAGTGATGAGATTACTCCTTCATGAACTCAAGAATCATGAATACTGTATGTTTCTGTGGAAATTTTGGGGAAAGACTATCTAAATCAAGGTTTTAAACAAGTTGCGGTTTCCTGCTTTAGCACACACAAATAATACTGGATGTAGGAGCAATTTGTCAGGAAGATAAAGCCAAATGCTGAAAAAATAAAAATTTTCTTCTTCAAAGTTGTCATTTAAACGTCTTCTGTTTTCTTGTCAGAAAGTAAAGATTTGTTATAAACCTGTTTAGGACGTTGTCACTACAGAGAGGAAACAGCTGATACTAAAATACTCCAACACCTGGTGATCCAATAGAGCAGTACTTGTTGGATTCCTATAAACACTTGAAAGAAACAACTCAACATATTGACTTCAAATAACTCGTTTGCATTTAGAAAATTTTGATCCAATAAACAAAAAATCAGATTCTTCTGGATTAGCAACAAGTATTTCACTGATCTTAGTTCTTCAACACAGAGCTCAAGACATCCAGGGATACATTTCACTCCAATGGGATACATCCCAAAAAGCAAAAAAGCAAAATTTTCTGGGGAAATGAATTCCATATAAATATCAAGGAACGAGTTACTGGTTAACTCAGTGGCACCTAGAGGATACTTACGAATTTGTGTGCAGATATTCAAAGGTTAGCTGAGCTCGATTCAGACTGCTGTAATTTGTGAAAGCCATGACTGCAATGAGGTCTCCAGCCCTTCACCCACTAGCTGGGAAATATAACCCTAAAATGAAATCAGCTTCCCAAGATTCTGTCCAGTAAAGCTTCAGTCTGTGCTCCTTAATGACAGTTAAAGTAACTAGTAACTATCCAAAATATATGCAAATAAATGTTTAAAACTACAATTTCCTCAAGTTTTTTTAAATCTTCTCAATGATTACGATGTAATATTTCGGAAAGAACTATGTCATAAATCCGTAGTTTTAAGGAGCTTTTAGCATTAAGTTGCGATAACTCAATTCAAAAATCTGAGTCTCGTGTGGATGGTCCTGGAGATGGTCCTTGAGAGGGTGGTTTATGACTGCTCCATCTTCATGTTCTTCATGCCTTTTTTGGTTCCCCTAAATTTCCTGTCAGGAAGTTTACCAATCTGGAAATTTACCCACTTCTATCAGAAAACTGATCAGCCATATCTTCGCCACACGTGATGCCAGGATCCTTAAACAGGCCCAAGACCGGTGACCAAGATGTCGATGGAGTGTTATATGGCGCTAGTTGAGGCTTCACCACCTCCCGGCTGAAAAAGCTCCTAGGTGCTGATGATTTTTTTTTTCAAAGCCCGACCAAACCCAGCTGAGGGTGGCAGTCAGATTTCCTCACACGGGCTCACAGAAACACCTCACAATTGACTCTCCCAGAGCACCTCGGGCGGGGCGCGCCCCTCCCCCACGTCCCTCAGACAACAGCCTCAGCCTCCCAGGCCCTTCCCTGGCCTCGGTCCCGTGGCGGCCTCCTCAGGAAGAGGAGCTACTCCCGGCTTTCAAGGACCGGATCGAAGGCAGTGGAGAGCGCACCACCCGACTGGGCACTACCCGGAGCTCACAACTGCCTTTGTCCCTCCCCGCGGAATTGGAACCCAACAGCCGCAGCGCGCTCTTGGAACCATGTGCTGCTGCCGCCTCCTCCGCCGCTGCCGCCGCCGCCGCCCGCGCGCCGCACTGAATGAGATGGTGACAGGACTCAGCAGCAACACGAAATTCGGCGTTTAGAGCCGCTCTGCCGCCGCAGTCACAGACACCACAGCCACCGCTTTGTCTCCGCTAGTGCACACAGCCCCGGCCACCTCGCGCACTCCCCGACGCCCCAAACCCCCGAGGCCTCCGCGGAGCATTCAGCCAATCATAAAGCTGAATCTCCTCCCGCCCCCGCCCTGATGTACAGCCTCCTGATTGGCGGGCTGCGTATCCCCATGTGACCGGATCTTGGTTGGCCGGTCCCGCCCATGTCACGTGAGAGCGTGCGCCTCTCTTCCTGCTTTCCTGACCCTCTCCGCCATTTAAAGAAACAGTACCGGGGGCGGGCCGAGCGACGCAGCCGGGACGGTAGCTGCGGTGCGGACCGGAGGAGCCATCTTGTCTCGTCGCCGGGGAGTCAGGCCCCTAACTCGAAGAAGCCCTGGCGCGCCCTCCCCCCCTCCCGGGTCTGGTAGGGCGAAGGAACGGGCGTGCGGTCGATCGAGCGATCGGTTGGCGGCTCTTTCTCCTGCTCTGGCATCCAGCTCTTGGGGCGCAGGCCCGGCCGCCGCGGCGCGCGCCCGGTGGCCGTTGGCGCTCGCGCCGCGTCTTTCTTCTCGTACGCAGAACTCGGGCGGCGGCCTATGCGTTTGCGATTCGACGAGGAGTCGTCCGGGTGGTCGGCGGCGGCGGGCAGCTGCTCCGCCCCGCCCCGGGGGAGGCTGCGGCTGCATCGGCCGCGGGATTTGGAGCGGCCGGGGAGGCGGGGGTGGCCGGAGCCGGCCTGGAGGCCTGGCGCCACCCTTCGGGGCCTGCAAGGACCCAGTTGGGGGGGCAGGAGGGGGCTGGAGGATGGTTGGTTGTGGGATTTCTACTTTGTCTTTTCCTCCTTATGCCGCCTTAGTGAGGTGCGGGAGCTCTGGCGGCAGCCCCGGGGTGGGGAGAGGAGCTCCGGAGTCGGAAGAGCTGGGTTTGCTTCCGGGCCTAGCCACCAGCTGGCCGAGTGACCTTAGGCGAGTCACTCTGTAATTTGTCTGCGCCTCAGTTTCCTCCTCTGCCTATCAATGTGTGTGGAATTGAAAGCGCTTTGTAAACTATAAAGCGTGGGTGTATGTAAAAGATGGTTATTGTTTGTAATGTATTTTTTGAGTTGTAAGAAAACTTAGCAGTGGCCCAATCCTTGGGTTTTGAACCTGGGAATCTTGGATGGGAGTTGGGGATCCCCAAACTCCGTGAAATTGTGGGAATGTGCGTTTTAGGGAAATGATGATCCATCGCTATCGAGTTTTCCAAGGGAGCTGTGTGACTCAGAAGAGTTAAGAATCACAATTTCTTCATACTACAGAGAGGAAACTGAGGCCTAGATGTCATTTGGGACCCTTCACAACCAATTTGAAGCCCCTGTATGAGTCCCTGGGATATGTGAGCTGTTTCTATGCATAATGGATATTCGGGGTAACAACAGTCCCCTGCTTGGCTTCTATTCTGAATCCTTTTCCTTCACCATGGGGTGCCTGAATGGTGGCTGATGCATATGGTACAATGGCACCCAATGTAAAGCAGCTACAATTAGGAGTGGATGTGTTCTGTAGCATCCTATTTAAATAAGCCTATTTAATCTTTGGTCCGGCAACTGTTTTCTGCTTCTTGTACTGGTGCCTGACTACCTTTCCGACTCTTCATTGACCATTTTCCACGACCATGGTTGTCATCCATTACTTGATCCCACTTCGTATGTCTAGTCTGTGTGGTTGGTGGTGAATAGGCTTCTTTTTACATGGTGCTGCCAAGCCCAGCTAATTAATGGTGCACGTGGACTTTGGCGAGCAGGCTCACTGGAAGAGACTGAATCAGGCACGGAATTCCTGAAGATGTTTGGGGTTTTTTTCTTTCCTAATTGAGGGTTAACATTCTCTGAAAAGTTTTGTTAGAACTACTGCAGAACCTCATAATCAGTAGATTTGGAAGTGATTAAAAGCTTAACTTTTTCTTTGGCCCTCCATGTGTTCTAATTGCTTGCAAGTATAATACTAAGTTGTCCTAGATGCCAGTTTTTGCTTCTTTGTTAATTTGCAGCTGCGTTTATCAAATTTCAGCCCATTATCCAACAAACACTATAAAAATGTTTGAACAATCGGATTACAAACATTTTCATTTTGTGGAGTGGTGCTCACCAAGTGGTACAGCTCTAAGCAAGTGAACACAAACACATTTAAGTGTATTTGTCTGATTAGATGTTAGCCAGTTACGCTATTTCATTCAAATGTCTGAAAAAATCAATTGACTATTCCCTTTTCCTAAAGGGCAGAGACAATCTCACTTCCAGAGAAATGACTGTTTTGGAGAAGAAAAAAAAAACCTGTTGGTCTTTTAGCTCTTTTGTAGTTAAATCTGGATGTACCTCAAAAGACAAGACTGTGGTGATAAGATGATTTCCTCAGCGGAAAGGAGGAAAAAAGACAACTGGAACTCAAAGCTTGAATTCTGTGGCAAAACATGAGATGTCCAGGATTGGATGTTGAGAAGATTTCACTACAGTGATCTGCAATAGTTGGAGCAGACAACTTTCAGTGTAGCCACAGCCATGGACTCCAGATTTCCAGATTTTCAAGAACTGGACCTGGAACCTGAAAGAGCTTGTCAGGATGTCGCAGGAACACTGGAGGTAGATTGTTTTTTTTATTTTTGAATTTTGGGACTGTTGACCTTGCCGTGAGAAAAGAGACAACGACTGAGCAAGCACTACCACCAGCACTGTTACTGGGAATTAGAAGACCTGAGTTTCTGTCCAGACCCTCAGTGCAAACTGAGGATGCTCCATCCAAAGCGAATTATGGTACTTGCCATTTTCCAAAATGCCTTATTCTTTACTATCTCTGCACTTTTGTTCATTCTCTCTACTTTGGAAATGGCTCCTCTCTGGCTTTTCATCTGTCAAAATTCTGCCATTTTCTCGGTATCCAACTCAGATGCTCTCTTTTCCGTGAGTCTCCTAACTGGCCAGAATAGAACTTTTAAGTTTTATGTCATTTTGTTATGTATCCTCTCTTTGTATACAAAATCCCGTAAAATAATTACTTGCCTGCATTTGCTGTCTTTGCAGATAGCAGACTCCTTGAAACCAGGGTCCTTGTTTAGTGCATCTTTGCCCACATACAGCACAACATACCATGAAGCATTTATTAGGAAGGAGGAGTTTAGAGAGCAGGCTATCAGAATAAGCAGCCAGTAAGTGTTTTCTTAATTGCTGTCTGTTAAATAAAATTACTCTTAAGGAGAAGAAAAGTCACTAGATAAGGGTCATGTTTATGTTTTATTATTTTTTAATTGTAAATTTTGAAAGATCTAGGGATCCCTCAGACATAAGGAGAAACCAATATGTTGAATGGGGTATTATATACAGAAGGACCATGACCTTATTCTCTCCTACTTAGGATGGAATCCTAGGATGAATGCTAGGACAGTTTTTTAAAAAGGAGCTTTTTAATTTGAGGAAAGCATTGGAAGAGAAGGAGGGGCAGTATCTCCTTTTTTTAATTGTTGGTATATAAACTTAGAATCTCAGTTCTTTTTATGCCACTTGTGGAGCCACTTTCTCATCCCCATCGAAAAATGCCCAGCAGCCTGAATCCAGTCAAGTTACTTCATTCAAAAGTACAAAGTTTAGTTTCTGTTTGCCACTTTGCAACAATCAGGCTTTTGTGTTTTCTTTTTTGGATTGTTGTTATTTGTTTTCATTTATCATTTGTCATTGCCTAAACCCGGCTCATCAAGAATTAATAGCCATCAGGCTGCTGATGTGCTGGCAGCAGACCCACTTAGAGTCCTGTGTTTGTAGTTCCATGCATTTGTTATCTTACCTGTTTTATCCCTGCCCATTCTAGTCTTGTGCCTCCTGATTGCTGAGTGTTCACCTGGACCTTCTGACTACCTTCCTTGTGCTATTCCATCAGCCTACAGATCCTACAGACCTGGTACCTGGATTTTTGCTGAAGATGATTCCTACCACCTTACTACTGAAGAAGACACCCATTCCATTGGACCACTGTGACTCAGGAGGCATTCAGCCATCATGATGTGGCCTCTACCTCCACTCCTGTTCTGTTCTACCCAGATTCAGCACAGCCCTTTATAGTGAAGTCCGAGTCCTCAAGCCAAATAGCTAAAGCTGTTTTATCACAACAAAGGCCTAGTTTGTTCCATGAGTGTACATTTCTTCAGTTAAAGCCTTCAGAGACACACATAAATTTGGACCAGGGGATTTTTTAGTTATTAATGCTATTTGAAGAAAAGCAACATCTTTTTGAGAACAGCATTGGACCGTACCACACAATCTCAAATGATTGAAATTCATCTGCACCCTGTTTTTTCTACTTCAAATCCTGTACTAGCCTATTGAATGAGAAAACATATTCTGACCCATTGGGACCAAATCAAAGGCACAAAGAACTCCTCATAGCATCTTCTTTGGAATTACTCAGGAACCAGAACTTTTTACACAAATGTGAGAAATTCTACCAAGGAGTCCCCTTACCTAACAGCATCTCACAAGGCTGCATCAGATTCCAGAAAAGGCTTCTCTTGATACATCAAGGTAGAACCTCTATGGTAAATCCCCTCTGTTTATATAGCACTTTACAGTTTCAAAGCACTTGTACATACATTTATCTCAATTATCAAAATAACTGTGAATTATAGTCGCTTTTTGCAAATGAGGGAATATAAATTTTAAAAGTTAAGCAGTTATCCAAAGTGACACAGTTAAGAAAGTGGTAGAGGCCAGGCTTTCTGACTCCCTGTTCAGTACTCTCCTTGGAATTAGCCTCCAGTTTACCCAGTGTTAAAATGACTGGGTATTGGGAACCTCAGGAAATTTTCCAGCTTCCTGATCTGGTGCCCCCAATCACATAGGATGTCATAAGTGTGACCTTGTGACAGCTACATCTAGACCAAAATCCCATGGCGATATCCCCAGGGTTTAGGGGTATACTATCTCCATGGTGGAAGACTGTCAAATCAAAAGGGAACATTTTCTAACAACAAAGCTACCCAACACGAAACAAAAAGCTGCTTGTAGATTTTTTAAGACTTACTAATACTCCTGGGCCCTAAGAGCTTATCTGTGGTCCTCTCTCTGCAAACTAATATTTACACAAAATGAGCTGCCTGGTTTTTTAAGGCAGTACCCTGTGCATGTGTGTATGAATGACATGGAGAAAGCTTCTGTTACCTAGTAAGACAGTATAATATGTAAGACATGTCCCTTCCCCCAGTTTACATTGAGATATAGTGTATTAAAGAAGACTTGCAGCAAATTACTACTGCTTCTATGCTTAAATTCAGAAATCTAGTTTTTTTTAAAAGACTTGCAGTAAAGAGTTCCATTTTGCTATTTAACCCGTTGTGTCCTAAGTTTAATCAAACACAGAAGGGTATTTTTTGCATCATTCCATCTAATGGAATGCAGAAACTGTTTTAGAGCAGTATAGGCAGTGCTTCCTGATTGCCAGCAGATTGCCCTGGACACCCCAGAATAAACAGCATCTTCAAAATCCCCCTTTCTCATATCTTGTTATTAACTGCTTGAATTAGTGTGTCTCTGTCATTTGACAGTCCTGCATCTTGACCGTTACCTTTATTTTCTGTCAAGGGAACCTGTAGATGTGTGGGGAGACATAGGAAAGAAATGGGGGAAAGTAAATTCACCCCAAATTGGATAAATTCCATGACATTTAGCAGTATACTTCTGTGTCCCTAGAATTGTACCATAACTTTAGTTCAAGGGCATTGCATCTCAGGCGGGTAAGGAGTTTGGGAAGGGGAGAGAAGGGGTGAGAAGATATTTCAGAATTTGAGTTATGGCCCATTGAGACTTATCCAATGCTTGAGAAGTCATCCAGCCATGGACTTCTTGGAGTAATATTTACAAAAAAAGGGATGCATTTTGCAATCTCATGCAAAAACCCCAGTGCTATTGCAACTGAAAATCATTAGCCTTGTTCTCTGATAGTTACTTACAAGCCCAACAGCAATCAAAATTTATAGCAGATGAGCTTTAACTCCATCAACCTGTAATGTGGTCTGTATTGGGGAAAAAATGAATAGAAAAACACCTTGTTTTACCACAGGCTTTGCTTACAGTTTCTGCTTTCTGTGACCCATTTTTTGTATTTCAGCATTTTGTGAACGACTTATTCTTAGATCATTGGTTTTCCAAAGCCTTTGTGGCCATGAAGCTCTTTGAGTGAAAACGTTGTAGAGGCCCAGAGTAAAAGTGAAGCTGCTCTGGATGAAGCAATGAAGCAGGAGTAGGGGCCTGAAGCCTGCTACAACTATCTTCCTTTACCACCGTGGTGACACCTAAGGGGACTTCCTTATAACACCTTGAACTCTTCAGAACACAGTTTGAAAACCACTTCTCTAGACAGCGATATGTTTGACCTGAATGGCATTCCAATCTCTTCTGTACCTCCACTCAGCATAGTTCATGTTCAGCTGATGCTGAACATTCTTAGAAGTACTGTGTGCAAACTTAGAAAAGTGCAAGAAGACAGGCATGTCTTTGACCCCAGGAATGGTCATGGGCGGAAAGTGCTGTCAAGGGAATCTAGATTAACAGCCCTCCGCTCCAGACGGATATCCAGTGATTCCTAGAATGGGATATAGCCAGAGAACAATTCTATGTACCCTACACTGACAGACTCCCGTAAACAACTTCTGTTCACAAACACCAGATGCTCTAGTGGTACTTGAAGTACATGACTTTGAAGTCTTGACCCTCCATGGATACCTGAATTGCCAGCAAGCGGGTTTTGAAGCTGGTGCCTCATTGAGGCCATATTAGAGCAACTTATACATTTGACCTCTTGTCATCAGCCGTGGTACTCTACTTCATGCAAGAGAAAACTATGAAAGCAGAATTCAAATACTAGCAACATTTCCTAAAGGGACTCAATATCTGTTTTGTCATTCATCTTTTCCAAACTACACATCACTGTATGACTCAACCAGTAGCAGTTACACTGTTCCTTGGTTTTTATTCAGTTTAACTACTGTTTCCAAGATAAATGAGCAAACAACCTTTTTTTAAAAAAGCTGAAACAATTCCTTTATTTTCATCACTGGCATATCTGCCTATTCAGAATTATTATGACTACTCAGCTCTAACTTTAACAGCTGATCTTCAAGAGACAGTCTTTGAATATCCCTTCTGGTATGTGATTTAAAATACAACAATTTGGAAAAGTTTCTTCTAGCCAGTAAGAGATTTTTTTTTTTAATCGCTCCGTCTTGTGCTGAGAGGTGTTCTTTTAAGATGAATCTTTTGATGTCTGATACCACCAACGATAGGTGGTAGGGGTAGTTGGAGGCTGGCCCTTTGAGCAGGCCATGATAGCTTACTTGCTGGGCATTTCAGATGGCTTATTACCTGCCTTTTTGCTGGAAACAGACTTATTTGAAGAATAAAATTTATGAAGACTGTGGCTAAGGATTTTATCAGTAGACTTAAGAGCTTTTGGCCTTGTGGATATTTTAGTGGAACCACATCAGTCTCAATACTGTCATTTTACACTGATTCAGAGCACCTGACTTCATTTTTGACATGATATACTTAAGGCAGGCGTTGTAACAGATATTAAGACAACTTAATCTGTTTCAGAAGGAAGGATTCCATTCATAAACTCGTAAGCCAGATCATGTTGAACAAGGAGACTTTGATGTGTATCATGAGAAAACTCATTCCTTTACTCTCCAATTTAAAGGCCAGCTATCCTGAGCTACTCCAATGAATGCACTGGTTAAACTTTGGGAACAGTTTCTTTATATTCTTGTCTCTCTAGGCCAGTCGTGATTACATGACTCCACATCTCGTCAAACAAGGCCTGCGGCTGGTTGCTGTAGACTGCTCACCCTCGACAAATAAAATCTGGATGACTAGCCTGCTTGTATATACAACTGTTATTTGTAAAGAAGTTATCTTCAATTTTCTACAACCTTCAAATTGTCAGCTCTTTTTTTCTTCTCTAATTTTTCTGTACTTTATAGAAAAAGACATTGCTCTATACTGCCATTCCTTCTAATCCTGCCATACTCGGTCAAAATGAATGACTTAAGATGAAGATGATCATCTGCTCGAATCTAAAATATACATTGTGTATAAGAATTGGAGATTAGAAAAGCAAAAAACCTAAAACTTAAACCTAGGAGTTTGCCTACTATCTCCATGTCTCCATGCCTCAGATTTCATCTCAATCTTTGAACAGCACCATTCAAGCAATCTGAGGCCTTGACCTATAAGATGATTCTCAGAGATGGGCTGAGTCACGAAAGATGACGACTTGATTACCAAAGAAAGTAGGGCCAACTTTGACAAACCTGGCTCTGCTGACCCTGTCACTCCCAGATGTAGCATAGACTCCTAAATAGACCCGGAAGTCTGAGGAGAAGGCCTTCTTCTGAGCTGAGTCTTTGGCAGATGAGCAGGAAACTGAAAGCTGATGTACCTGACTGGCTCTGTAAGATCAGAAAACTGTATCCAGAGTAAGCCCTATGGATTAACCCTGGAGTACCCAGGGTAAAAACTAATTTACAGAATTTCCTTATTAATCTGCCTCTTTTTCCAGATCATATTCTGCCTATTGGTATGACTGGCCCTTCTGAAGTTACCCTGCTTGTCTATTTTCCTGACTCAGCTCTTGCCTGCCTTTTTCACATATTGCTGCAATTAGACTCACTGACCTTGAGAAGACTACAGCCAATTTTAGCCTGTCTTGTGCCCAATACAACAAGAATTTTTAATAGAAACAACCCACACCTCACCTACTAGGACTCAACAATCACAACAGGAAGGACCATGCTGTGTACTCCTTGATCAGCAGCTTTTTTAAAGATATTTTTAAGTGCAGAGTAAGCCTCTCTGAAAGTGTATTTGATGACTTTCAGCACCTGGAACCTCTTCTATCAGATCTCAAGGAATACAGCAGATTCAAAGCAGTGTCCATTTCTCTCCTGTAGTAGTGCAGAAATGAGTCTGATTTACCAGGACACACAGAACTGTACCAGTTCAACCTGGCAAAAAGGAACACAAGAAAAGTTTCCACTGTACTTAAAATTTACCACTGACTCAAATTGCCTCACAGAATTATTTGATGTAGAAGGCTAGTTGTCTTGCTTCACATCAGCAGGACAGTTGGGCTCTCAGACTCATGATCACTGAGTTTGCTTGTATTAAAACTCTGTGGTTTTATCCAAAGTATGCTATTGGACATGATTATTATTCCATTCAAATGGATTACGGACTACTTGAGGACAGGACAAACTTAGAATACTTTTATAACCGAGGAAGAAATCATGCCAGCTTTTAGCATTCAACTTCATAAGCAGAGATTAAGCTTTTTCATACTGTTCTTATCCTGGACAGCAGTAGTTTTTAATTGCCCAGCATCCATTCCATCTCATTGTGACAACTCTACGATGTTTCTTAAAACCACCTCTTCCTGTTTTCAGTCTGTGTGGTTTGGACAATTAGACCCAACCTTGAGCTTTGTGGGTGGACATGTAATTGAGACCTCATCAATCAGCAAATCCATCTGAACTGTGGAGGAGAAGCTCTCTTTACTGAGGTGCTTTAGCTTTGTGGGATGAAAACCTCAAACCAACAGGGCCTACCATGTAGAGAATGAAGCCAGTGCAGGGGAAAGCAGAGCCAAAATAATGGAGAGACTTGAATCCTGATGACAACGTTTGTGCCCCTGGATCCAACCGTGCCTGAAGCTAGTATATCCCCTGGACTTTTCAGTTATGTGAACCAATAAATACCCTTTTTTGCTTAAGTTACTTTGAGTTGGGTTTCTCTTACTTGAAATTGAATCCAGATTAATATATCTACCAACATTGAAACTTGACAGATCCAAGTATTTATTAAGCTAGAGGTCATGGTCACTGAAATTATTTTCCAAAGTGGAAGACAAAATGAAACAGGAATGGAGAGAATATTTAAGATACCACAGAAGCATAAAAATAACGTGGTAGAAAGTAACAGAAGACCTAAATGTCATTAAAGGATAGGCTAAGGTATGGTTCAGCCATGTAGGAAAATCTTAACATTTATTAAAACGAATAAAGTACATTCATTGTGTATGGAAAAATGGCCATGATACATTAGGTGAGACAACTTATTGATAGAAAAGTGTGTAGTATGAACTCATTTTAAAATGTGTGTGCTTATGTTTATAAATGCATAGAAAAGTCTATTCATGGCTTTCTTTGAACAGTGTAGGTTACACGAGACTTTCAACCTTATACATTTCTGTATTCTACACTACCCACATTACTTTTAAACTTTATTTAAATAAAGAATTTTTTAAATTTAGTGCTTACTGTTTGTCCTTAGCAAGTTATTTAACGCTAAGCCTGTTAAATTATTAAAATACCCACTTTTATATTAGTAAATATTAAAATATATTAATCATTCATTACTCCAGTTGACAGATAGCTACACCTTTGTTTGAGAAACTCAAAGCTCAGTAATTGTTCCTTGATTTTTTAAGCATGTCTCCTTCAAATGATTTTATTTGGATTATGAGAATTTTACGGTTTTAAGGTTCATCAAAAATTATCGTAGTTCTTCACTGATGTTAACCTACTAAGACTATTGCACCATCCATATTAGGCAGAAAACAAGGAAAGTCACATCTTTTAAAAAATCTTTCAGTTATTCCAATGTCACTGCAATTAAGGTCAATAGTGACCTTTTAATTGCTAAAGCCATTACACATGCATCTTATCTGAATTTTCAGCAGCACAGATAACTCCCACCAGCTTCTTGAAATACTCTTCCCTTAAGTACTGTTTATACTTCATTTTCTTTTCAACTTGCTGGCTACTCCTTTATTGTGGGTCCTTCTCCCCATCATGTAAATATTGGTAAAGACAGCATCCATTGTTTGGCTTGTCAAAAATTACTTCCCCTTTCCTTTAATGATAGATCCCCACTTAACTCTTTAGAAAGCTACTCATTCCCATTCAGTGGAAATGTAGGTTATAGTACTCTCGCCTCATGCCCCCTGGCTGAGGTTTGAGCAGTGCAAGCTCATCCTATCAAATTTCCCACCAGGACTTTGATTCTTAAGAGGTGACCACAGGCCGGGCGCGGTGGCTCAAGCCTGTAATCCCAGCACTTTGGGAGGCCGAGGCGGGTGGATCACGAGGTCAAGAGATCGAGACCATCCTGGTCAACATGGTGAAACCCCGTCTCTACTAAAAATA